GCAGTGAAGTAAGTTTGCCTGCAGCTTGTGTGCCGGCACAAATGGCTCTGCGTGCCACCTGTGGCACATGTGCCATAAGTTCACCATCGCAGGTCTAAGTCTTATATCCTCTGCTTAGGTAAATAGCAGTAACTGTATAACAGAGTTGGAAGGGACCTTGGAGGTCTTCTAGTCTAACCCCCTGCTCAAGCAGGAGACCCTATACCATTCCAGACAAATGGCAGTCCTGTCTCTTCCTAAAAACCTCTAGTGATGGAGCACAACTTCTGGAGTCAAGCCACTTTACCAGGGTTTTTTCCCCCTGAGCTTTACTTTATAATGAAGTAAAAACTTATATTTTACAACAGGTTGCTGAACCCGAAGGAGTGAAGATTCTCAAGTTTTCAAGTCCCATGTTTTATGCTAATATCGATGGCCTAAGAAGCAGTGTCAAAGCTACTGTAAGTAGTAATGTTCTCGAATGGGTGCTATTGAGGCTTATCAAAATATCAATGCAGTGTTCAGTGTGAAGTCTAGCAGGGATTAAGTTTGTTGAAATGACACCAATAGAAGAGGATATTTGTAGCTCAGGGTTGAACTGCAGAGTTCTTGAGGCTCTCTGAGCTTGGTGGTTTCCTTGCAGATGTTTCATGACCCAACTGGGTAATACCATCAGTGCTACAAGGGGGGGAGGTTTGCAGGAAGGGGGAGGAGGAGGACTGTGGGATCCTTGATGTTCTCTGCACTTGGTAGTTTTCTTGCAGACATTTCATGACCCAGCTAGGCAATATCATCAGTGCTACAAGGGAGGGAGGTTTTCAGAGAGGAGGAGGAGGGGGAGACAGACGTGGATATGGCTGGTAATTGGCTAAGAAACTGCTTGAGAATGCATGTTTTCTTTCTTAAATTCTGGGATGGATGAGAGTCAGCATATACATGTATAAAAAACAATTGTGGCCCATTATTTTTAATGAATTGTGGCTGTTTCATTTCCTTCCCTATGTAAACACAACTAAAACAAAAATTACCAAATTTGTTCTTTGAAGGTGGGATTTGATGCTGTCCGGGTGTACAACAAGAGGCTGAAGGCTTTGAGAAAAATACAGAAGCTAATCAAGAAAGGAAAATTAAAAGCAACAAAAGTAAAGTATCTTTGTTCTCCACTCAGTTGTTTTGAATGGGTTCTATTATGGGCAATTAATTCAAAATTATTTTTCTCTTACTGTGCATGCGACCTGTTTTTCTGCAGTATTTTATTTTAATTACTTGGAGGCACAAAAATCTTCTTAGCAAGCAAATATCAAGATTCTCATGAATTCCCCAAAGCCCATTATCCAGAGGTGGTCTTCAGCAGGTTCTGCCCAGTTCTGGAAAACTGGTAGCGGAAATTTTGAAGTTTGGAAAACCGGCAAATACCACCTCTGACTGGCCCTGCCCCCCTCTATTCTCTGCCTCCCGAGTCCCAGCTGATCAGCTGGGTCTTCTTTGGTTGCCCTACACAGGAGAACAGAGCTGGAAAGCAGGTTAGTGGGAATGGGATTTTGCAGTATCCTTCCCCTGCCATGCCCACCAAGCCACGCCCAATAAGCACACCATGCCTACCAAACCATGCCCACAGAACCAGTAGTAAAAAAACGTGAATCCCACCACTGCCTTTTTCCACACTTCGTTTTCCTTTCTCTCACTTTCCCTGCTTGTGTACATCCATTTAATGTTTCATTTCACGAGCCTAACTAAAATATTACAAGTTCAAAACTGTATTTTTATACTGTATGCCACCCAAAGAGTCACTTTTTGGAATGAGATGGGTGGGATCTACATTAGATAAAGAAATAAATAAAAACCACATTCAATAAAGAAAATAGAAAGGAAAAGGAAACAAAAGGCAGCAAAATAATCTACTATAGCAAAAATGAAGGAGTACACAGCCCTCAACATGCAACATGTTCAAAGTTACAACGGCACTGAAAAAAGTGACTTATGACCATTTTTCACAGTTATGACTGTTGCAGCATCCTAATGGTCACATGATTGAAATTTGGACGCTTGGCAACTGACTCATATTTATAACAGTTGCAGTGTCCCTGGGGTCACGTGATCCCCTTTTGCGGCCTTCTGACTAACAAAGTCACTGGGGTAGTCAGATTCACTTAACAACCATATTTGTAACTTAACAAATGCAGTGATTCACTTAACAACCGTAGCACGAAAGGTCGTAAAATGGGGCAAAACCTGATAAGTGTCCTGCTTAGCAATGGAAATTTTGGGTTCCATTGTGGTATAAAAGTATTTGAGGGACATGGATTCCTACATGAAAACACTGGAAGTGTCATGCCCCTGTTGGAATCTGATTCTGAAGGAGAGGTCGAACAGCTGACAGGGAGTGGGAGTGTGGCTCTGGTGGCTGTGGAGGAAACTGGGGAAGGGTACAGTCTGACTGGGCATTCAGAGGAAGACCCAGGCTCACCCCCTCTTCATCCTAGGATATGCAGGGAGAAACAGAGAAGGGAGCACCTTGGGTTACGGGGGAGAAAAAGGCCCTAATTCCCTTCATTAGCTGCAGCTGGGAAAACAGGATATAAAGGGTGTTTGCGCACAGCACCTTGCTGGAAGCAAAGCGTGCATTATCTTTGTTTGTCACGTCTTATCTGGGTTCTGGCATCCTCCCAACTGTGTGTGTTTTGTCGTCTTCTGAAGTCTGCAATTCCTTATCTTGCCCTGTCTCATTAATTGCTGCAGTGTAGTTTATATTGGTTTTTATTTATAATTTAGATGTACTGTACAGAGAAGAAGATTCGAGATAAGAAAATAATGAGTAGAAAATTTACTTGGGATCAAAGCAAAACAGGGGATGTGACTTGAAAGCTAGTGTGGGTGATAATGTCGCTAGAAGCCACAATTGTGGGCAGAACATTTGTTTAAAAAATTTTCACCTGGAAGAAGGAGAATGATTAGATGACTTCGTTCAACAATTAAATCTGGGTGTAGAGGAATTAGTACAACTCTGAGGTTTGCAAGAAGAATAGAATAGAATAGAATAGAATAGAATAGAATAGAATAGAATAGAATAACAGAGTTGGAAGGGACCTTGGAGGTCTTCTAATCCAACCCCCTGCCTAGGCAGGAAACCCTACACCAGACAAATGGTTATCCAACATAAAGAAGAATATACCTATTTCCTTGTGCAGATGGCTTAATGGAATGAATGACAATCATTGATTTCCTGATAATGCATGTTTACTTTAAATTATGCATATTGTCTTAAATTTCCATGGGTGCAGAACTTGATTTTCTGTTTTTCTAAAACAAAACTATTTCCTTTTTTTATTTAAAGGGGCAGAATCTGTTTATGTGCTTGGTGTAAGGCCAGAGCAGGGATGTCAAACTCATGGCCCGTGGCCGGATGTATCACGCGCTGGCCACGCCCACCCCCATTTTAGCGAGGGGGGGAAGTCACATGTTGACAACGTGATGACATGAGTTTAACACCCCTGGGCGAGAGGCAAAAATAAGAGTCCAGGATATGTCCCGTGTAGTTTATTTATGCAAGCATTTGTATGATCCTAAACACACAACATTTACTTATTTATTGGTATCCTGGTTTTATTATTTTTACAAATAACTTAAGATGGCAAATATATCCAACACATTTTCCTCCTCCTATTTTCCTCGCAACAACAATCCTGTGTGTTGAGTTGAGTTGAGTTGAGTTGAGTTGAGTTGAGAGTGACTGCTCTAAGGTCACTTGGCTGGCTTTCATGCTTAAGATGGCACTAGAACTCCCAGTGTCCTGGTGATTGGCCCAAAGTCGCACAGCTGGATTTAATGGCTAAAAGGGGACTAGAATTCACAATCTCCTGGTGATTGGCCCAACATCACCCAGCTGGCCTTTGTGAATAAGACAAACTAGAACTCACCATCTGCCTACTTTCTAGCCTGGTGCCTTAACCTCTAGAGCCCTGGTGGCACACAGGTGGCACACAGAGCCATTTGTACAGGCACGCGAGCCCCAGGCAAACTTACCTGCACTGTGCATGCGCGTGCCTCCCAGCTGATTTTTTGGGCCTTTTTCGACCTCCCAGAGGCTCGAGGGAAGCCACTGCAGCCTTTGGGGGCCGAAAAACAGGCCCATTTCATCACTTCCTGTAATTCTGGAAATACCAGAAGTGAAGAAACAGGCCCATCTGGGAGGCCGAAAAAGGCCCCAAAATCAGCTGGGAGGCACATGCATGCGCAGCGCAGGTAAGGGGATGGGGGGAGGATTGTGCGTGTATGCGCAGGGGGTATGGGGGGCCCTGTGCATTGCGTTCTGGGTGCTGGCACGCAAGCGCGTGTGCGCTAGCACATGCACAATTTTCGGCACAGGAGCCCAAAAAGGTTAGTCAGCACTGCTCGAGAGCAAACTGATTTGGTTTTGAAACAATTGGACATTGATTCTGTTCCCAGGAAAGTTTCTGTAACAGTATACATTATTTTGACTTATGTAAAGAAAATATGAAGTTATTAACTTTGCCATGAGTTGATTAGAAATATTTTGTTGTGGAGAAAAAAAATCTGTATTTTTGTAACCTTTGTAATTAAGAAAGGCATTGAACATGCTATCTATCTCTTCTGATTAGAATGGTATTATCAGTGATTCTGGTACTGTGAATGAGGGCTTTGAATCTGATGACGATCCAGAAGATCCCATAGATCCAGACATCCCAACCAAAGAAATGGAGATCCAGGTGGACTGGAACTCAGAACTTCCTGTTAAAGTGAATGTCCCTCAAGTGCCACTCCACAGCCTAATTTTTGACTTTGGAGCTGTCTCGTTCATGGATGTAGTAGCTGTCAGAGTAATGAAAACGGTAAGAATATTTTTTCATGTTTCTCATCGGTCTATGATTAAAATTGGATCATTTAAAGCTACAGGGATAACTAATCATTCTTGTATGGTTTCTACAAGCTTCCAGATGTCTAGAACAATAGAACAGAATAACAGAGTTGGAAGGGACCTTGGACCTACTCCAACCTCCTGCTGTAATTAGATAGTGGCCACACTGGAGGAATTATGGTTAAGTTCCCCTACCAGGATAATCTGAACTGATGCTGTTTCCTTTAGTCTGTTTTGACTCCCAAATGCTTTTATTTGTTAGGAGTCCTGTTTTGTTCCTAATTGTCAGTTACGACCTAGAATATGGTGTTAAGATTTGAATAATGTGTTTGTTTGCCACATTCCCAATTTAGAGATTCTAAAGAAACTTTGGCTTACATTCTTATTAATTACATTCAATATTATCAATTTATCCATGTGGGGTCCTTGGTGCTCTCTGAGCTTGGCGGTTTTCTTGCAGACGTTTCACTACCAAACTAAGTAACATCATCAGTGCTACTGATGTTAACCATTCAGCACTGATGATGTTACCTAGTTTGGTAACGAAATGCCTGCAAGAAAACCACCAAGCTCAGAAAGCGCCAAGAATGCGTAAGCGCACAATCATGCCTACCGTCCTTGTCCTACTATCCCCAAATATTAGTTCCTATTTCTTGTATTTAAACTTTGTTTATTCTTGTTTCTGTTATATTGTAAGCTTTTGACAGATAAAAATAAATAAATAAATAAAATCCCACAGTTCAACTCTGAGCTACAAATTTTCTCTCCTGTCGTTATCATTTATCCATGCATAAAAGTTTACTTCAATTCCAATCGCACCTTTACATTTGTACTTTTATCACTGCCATCTTTATACGGCATTGTGTGCTAGATTTACAAATTTATATCAGAACTGAATCAGAAACATTAATTCTGAAAACACTCTCTAGTGTTCCCCATGTGTCCGTCAAGCTGCATTTAAGATAACGTCCATATATTTTTTTCAGATTGTCAAAGAGTTCAAAAGAATTGATGTGTCGGTATACATTGCATCACACCTAGGTAAATAAAAATCTGCACATTATTACAGCTTTTATTTGTTACAGGGAACAGCATACAGAGAAAGGTGTGGAGGAAATATTTTGTCTGGAAGAAATAGTTCTGAAAGTAATGTAATAATGACCTCCCACCACAATCCCTAATTACATTCTCAGCCCTTCAATTTTTAAATCCAGCAAGTTAACAACATTGCAAAATTTACCATAAACTTCCCTCTTCAAGTCATGTAAACCTCATATATACAGGTAGTCCTTGACTTACAACCACAATCAAGACCAAAACTTCTGTTGCTAAATGAGACATCTGTTAAGTGAGTTTTGTCCCATTTTACGACCTTGGTTGCCACAGTTGTTAAGTTGTTAAGTTAATCACTGTAGTTGTTTAATTAGTAACATGGTTGTTAAGTGAATCTGGTTTCCCTCATTGACTTTGCTTCTCAGAAGGTCACAAAAGGGGACACTGTAGCCATCATAAATATGAGTTAATTGTCGAGCTTCTAAATTTTGATCACATGACTGTGGGGATGCTGCAACGGTCATAAATGTGAAAAATGGTCATAAGTCACTTTTTGCAGTGCCATTGTAACTTTGAAGGGTCACTAAATGAACTGTTGTAAATCAAGAACTAGATGTATTCTACCTGTACATTAATTAAGCCCCCATTTTCCTAGGTGAACACCAGTGCACTGTAATCCATATTTGTTCTTATACATCATAAATTTACACAGTATATTGTGTCATGGTATTTTGAAATAAGCTTATTATGGCATAGATGGAGATAAACTTTCTAAAGAGTTTTTTGAAGTTGCTTTTTTTTAAAAAAAGTGCTTTTCATGACTTTACTATTTACAGCTTTAATAAGTTAAGACAGAATCTTTAGAAGTTTATTTTACTTACATATTTTGTTAGTGGAAGAAAAAACTGTTTTATGACAATAATTACAAATAGATAGATAGATAATAGATAGATAGATAGATAGATAGATAGATAGATAGATAGATAGATAGATAGATGATGGATGATAGAGAGACAAACAGAGACACAGATAGGTGGATGGATGGATAGATGGATGGATGGATGGGTAAATAGGTTGGATAGAGGGGGATAGAGAGATAGATGATAGATAGATAGATAGATAGATAGATAGATAGATAGATAGATAGATAGATAGAAGATGGATGGGTGGATAGATAGATAAATAGATAGGTAGATGGATGGGTAGATGGATGGATTGGTAGATAGGTTGGATAAAGAGATGGAGAGATAGAGAGAGAAAGGCAAGCAGACACAGATAGATGGTAGAAATAGATGGATAGATGACAGAGATAAATACATGGATAGATGATAGATGATAGATAGATAGATAGATAGATAGATAGATAGATAGATAGATAGATAGATAGATAGATAGATAGATAGAGTTTTAACAGGTCTGAATATTTAAACTGATTGTTGTCTTTATGGTGTTTGTTATATTTTATTATATATTTTCCCCGCAGATCACATTATTAAAACATTGGAACACTGTGCCTTTTTTGATGATGATATTCAGAAAGAATTATTTTTCCTGACTGTTCACGATGCTGTATTATACATACAGAATCAAGTCATGTATAGAGAGGCCCAAGACCCTATAGCTGAAAAGGTACATATTTTATATTTATTTATGTACCAATCAGTACAGCATTTTATTTACACACATGCAAACATATTTTCACATAAGACCCAGTTATTTTCATTCTAGCTTGCAATTTTCGATAGAAAAGGAAATACTGGGTTATGTCTCTGTGGGGGAAACCGTGTGGATATTTAAATACAATTTAAATAATTTTCAAAAAATAACATTGTGCAGATTCAAGGACCATGACTGTTATAAAGGTTTTGATTTATTTTCTTTTTGTTATAATGAAAATTATAATTTTCAGGGAATTATACTTAATTGTTTAACAACAGTACTATGATCCACTCAATCAATTAATTTGTTATTTGTCATATTAATAATTCTATGTTCTTGTGGCCCAGATATCCTTAATGCAGGAATCCAAAGAGCCAATAGAATTCCCAGAATTGAACCAGAATGAACAGCTGGATGTTCAAGAAGAGGTATGATTTAATTTCAAATCTGCATTGTTATGATTTTTAAGCATAAAATAGTATATGGTAGTTCTCGACTTATAACCACAGTATAGCCTCCCATTACAATTGTAAGTTGAGACAGTCCCCGTCGTTGTTTACAGTGGTTGTTAAGCGAACCCAGAGTTGCTAAGCAAACTAATTGTTCACTATGGGCTAGTTTTGTGGCAAACAGGAACTAAATGCCATTTTTGGGGAAACATGTAAACTGTGGTCATGGGTTCCTGCAAAGAGCTGTAAATGTGAGCTGGTTGCTGAGCATCCAAAATGTGGTCATGGGACTGCAGGAGCGGGGTCCCAGTCATCAGAACTTCAGAACCTAGTTAGAGCAAAACCTCACTTCCTTCTAGCACTGATGATGTTACCTAGTTGGGTAATGAAACATCTGCAAGAAAGCCACCAAGCTCAGAGAGAACCAAGGACCCCTCGTGTCAACCCTGAGCTACCAATATTCTCCTTTATTGCCTCTATCTATCTATCTATCTATCTATCTATCTATCTATCTATCTATCTATCATCTTATCTACTGTATATACAATCTATCCATCACCTATCTATCTGTACTATCTTATCTACTACTGATGTTGTTACCTAGTTGGGTAATGAAATTTCTGCAAGAAAGCCACCAAGCTCAAAGAGAACCAAGGATCCCACAGTCGTTGTCCTCCTCCTCCTCGTCCTCCTCCTCCTCCCTCTTAGCACTAATGATGTTACCTAGTTGGGTAATGAAACATCTGCAAGAAAACAACCAAGCTCAGAAAGCACCAAGGACCTCCATAGTCCTCCTCCCTCTCCACCCTCCTCTTCCTCCTCCTCCTCCCCTCCTCCTCCTCCACTCTGCAAACCACCCGCCTTCCTAGCACTGATAAGGTTACCTAGCTGGGTAATAAAACGTCTGCAAGAATACAACCAAGCTCAGAAACCACCAAGGACAATTTTAATGTAAGGTTCTGTCGTGGTAACTGGGTTCACTGAACACCACATTTGCAGCAACTTCAATAAACCATTTTTGAGAGTTCTTTGGGGAAAAAGTAAACCCAATTTAACCTGATATACATGATATAGCTACCCTGGTAATCAATATCTATATACCCTTCACAGTTTTCACTTCAGATTTAGAATTTCAATCCTATTTCCCTTTCTTTTCTTTTCAAAAACTAGGCTATGCGCAGACTTGCTTCATAAAGGGCAGCTTCAGGCTTGGGAAGACCATGGACAGCGTACATCAATATCTTCAAGCAATTTATCACGGGACATTATCTGTTGCACTAGAAGAAAATATTTATGTTATTCAAGAGACTTCACTCTTTCCCTGCATCCTATAATTTATTTAAATTATTGGTCAACCTGTTTTGCACCAGGGGTGCTCATGCATAATGTATTTATGCGTTATTGTGATTTTTGATGTACGGAAGCAATTGTAGGAAGGAAATTGGGCTTCTCAGGCAGGAGTTGCTGACCTCAGGGGTGCCAAACTTGCTACCTGTTCAGCTGGAACTATATTTGTGGCAGGCAAATAATGCAATAATCTCAAAGCACAAAACTGGCCTCAGAAGTTAGAAGTGATTTTTTTTTTTCTGCAAGGTTTAAAATCAAGGAAGACCAATGCTGGTTTGAAAAGTATTCTCTTGAGAAGAATCCAAAGTAAAACACTCTTCCAACATATTTTACACTGAGGCAATACAAAAAGTTCTTTCCCCATGTCATAGTACATCTTCACCCTTTACCTTCTTGAATGTTTCTCAACTTCAGCAACTTTGAAGATTTCTTAACTTTAGCCCCAGAATTCCTCCGGCTGGCTAGGGAATTCTGGGAGTTGAAGTACCACACATCTTAAAGTTGCCAACGTCACTTACTGTATTAAGGAGCAGAACTATGCAATATTATGGACTCAATATTTTAAAATTATAAATTGGGTTTCATTGTTTTGCCCAGTTCCATTTTTGACACTTTTTGCAACAATGTACTGTCTGTCTATGATTTCACTTTTGAAACATCCTCTTTTAGTTGTTAATTAATGCATATTCATGAGCATCTCAAATACATGGTCATGCTATTCTGGAAATTACAGATTATGTGTTCTGGAACAAAGCATCATTTCATTCCTCACAATAAAATAATGTTTCCCCAAACTTGGCAACCTGGAGATGTGTGGACTTCAACTCCCAGAATTCCCCAGGTGAGGAATTCTGGGAGTTGAAGTCCATACATCTGGGTGAGGAATTCTGGGAGTTGAACAATACATCTTTTAGACCTGGTGAATTAAGGTCTAAAGTTGTATTTCCACTGCACAGAATTATTGTAACACAAAATGTTATACTAGTTCTCAATGTAGATGTGCCAGTTAAAAACTAAACAACTGGACAGAGGTATCTGCATGGGAATGAAAAATTAGTTCTCTATGACCTCTTCATCAAAGCTCTGCTCCTTTGATATGCAAATCATGGAAGTGCCACTCATAAGGGAGCGGGGCTTCATATGGTTATGATCACGTCAATTTTTTTTAATCCCTTTCCTTCAGGTGCCTCTGGAATTGGATATTGATTTGGGAATATTAATTTAATGTGTTTATATACTCAGGAGAAATATTTGAGAATAAACAGATTTTCTGGGGCTGGGAATCTTTCTGTACTTATCCCTTTCATAAAAGATTTATAAATAAACATTTGCAAAATTGCATGTCTGAAAAAGTCACTTTTTCCACTTGTAAGTTTCGTGTAGAAGAGTGTTTTTTTTTTTATAGAAGTACATCTGAATATTATAAATTTTTATAATTCTGAGATCCGATTATTCAGTAAGAGAGACAGGATGGTTTTTAGAGACAACTGTGTGATTGAAGCTCTGCTTAAGGGCCACGAAATATAAGAAAAAAGCGAGATCCTTGTTGCTCTTTGATTGTTTGCTTCAACTAGAACACTGATGATGTTATCTAGTTGGGTAATGAAACGTCTGCAAGAAAATCACCAAGCTCAGAAAACATCAAGGACCCCACAATTCAACCCTGAGTTACAGATATTACCTTTTATTTGATATAAGGAAAGAGTCTGATTTCAAACAGGCTAAGTTCCCCAAGAAGGTGCACTTAGAACTAAGGAATTAAATTAATAATTTACACAAAAACTTACTTAATTTCAGATTGCTTGAGCAAAAGAACAGAAAGATCAGGCATTCCTGGATTTGTGTTTCAAGAATGCATTCAATTTTTGTTTGTCACAATTATTTAGTTTTTAATCAACAGTATAGCATAATAGATATTGGAAGGTTTAAAATGTTGAAATTTGAAATAAAAATGGTCATACATTAGCAAATGAGATTTTATATATTTGTATATTCCAAGAAACACATACACATATAATTCTCAGCTTTTTATCAATGTTTGCTCTCACTATATAGGGAAATGTATTCTGTATTATTGAGCAAAAATACTTATTTTTACTTTCTGCAATAAGATATGGCCAATTTAAAGGGATCCCAAACCATTTTAATTTCTTTCTACCCTGTTTCTCCAACAATACGGCCTCCCCCAATAGGAAGTCCCAGCATGTTTTATAGGCATGAAATGAAATTAAGCCCCTCCCCCCAAATTAAGGTCTATATTAAAACATGCGAAATGGGGGGGAATGGTGGGGGGGGCTTGCCGTTAGGAAGTACTTTTGTTGCACACCCGGATATGGTGCTGCCTGCGTTGACCCCGATACGAAGTGCCCCACCAACGCCGAGGTCAACATCCAAGCCGTTGCCACCCGCCCACCCAAAGATGCAAGGGGGGGGGAATTAAGTCACCCCCGAAAAGACAGCCTAGCCATTTTTTCGGGGCTCAAAAAAAAATAAAACCCAGCCTTATTATATGAGAAACACGGTACATGAAAATCAGTCTCTTAAGTCAAAACAAATGGATGGACAGGTGAATAGATAGATAGATAGATAGATAGATAGATAGATAGATAGATAGATAGATAGATAGATAGA